GGCCCGCGCAGTCCCGCGCAGTCCCGCTTTCCTGGGCGTGTGTCGGCTGATGGAGGGAGAGGGGCGGGGCTCGCTGCTTCGGTCCACCCCGCCAGGCCCTTTGGTTGGGATCTGCCGGACCCCTGGGCACGAGGGGGCGGTCTTTGGGCCACGGCGAGAAGGGCCAGAGAACCAGGAATTCCGGGAATCCCGAGGCAGCTCTCCAGCCCCTCGCTTCTGGGAGAGGGAGGCCGAGATGGGAGTCAGCTGGGAGAGAAACGAGCCCCTCCCGCGGCCCCTAGACGAAGCCACTGTGAAGGGAGGAGCAGGTCCCGCTTTTCTGAGCCCACAGGGACCCTGCCACCAGCAGGCCCAGACAGTCTTTTACGCATATCTGAGTACCAAAGTGTCGTTTGAAGAAAAACACCTGATCCTGACAAGGTTGCCTGGGAGGTACCTTGCTTACAGGATGGTGGTAGAGGACTTAAACAGTAAAAACTCCTGCAAACAGTCTGGACGTTACTATTGTCCTAAGAAAAATAACCGCGTCACCAAGACATAATAATGCTAGTGGTCACTTAAGCATAGCAGGTAGAGGGAATTTCTTTTTTGGTTATTTTTTGAGAGAGGAGACTGACCTGGAACTCACTATGTAGCCCAGGCTGGTCTTGAACTCAGCAATCCTACTGCCTCAGCCTCCCAAGTGCTGGGATCACAGGCGTGTGCCACCATGCTGGGCTGGGTAGAGGGAATTTCTAATGAACGGTTGCTTTCTAGGGTTGGGCACATTGAGAGGCCTGTGCCTGTTGTCCCACCTACTCCTGAGGCTGAGCCTGGTCATTATGAGACCATCGTTCAAGACAAAAAATAATGGCTGCTTTCAGGAAATCAGCATGGGCATTATGCAGGTCCATTGCAGGGAGTCTGAAGTAAAAATGCTTGATCACATTATTGGCAAGAGACATTGTGAATCGTGACTCTTCCTTTTCCTAGACCCATCTGTGTACTTCCTTGTAAAACCTGTTTTAGCAAAGGACCCTAAGGCTGTTTAGCAAGCACTGTGCCCTCCTAGTCCTCAGTCTCAAAGAGCCTTACCGGCCTGACCCCAGCTCAGGTTGACCACTGTGGCCTGTTATCACCAAGAGTCTCATTCATCCCTGATGTTTCCTCTTAGTAATTTTCTATCCACTCAACTGCCTGCTTTTTTCTTCAGTATTTCGAACCAAACCCAGCTGGTTTGTATTTTGAGACAACGTTAAGTTGCTCAGGCTGCTTCTGAGTGCCCAGCTGGGATTACAGGCCGTCCCACCACACTCCTGCCCTCTTATGGAAAGCCACGGGTCCTGGACCCGAGGGACCTGCTGGGCCCCACACCTGGCCTGGGGAGCAGCCAGAGGCCTAAGCATCAGGCAAGGAGAACATCAAGGCACTGCAGTGTGGTTTTTATTTCTTCCAGGGATCCATTAAGGCATTGAGCACAGTGTGATGTTTAGCCAAGTGCGATCAGGACTGAGGGATGCACCTTCAAAATTACTGGTGAGGAGCCAAAGCACAAGTGGAGTAACGCCAGTGTGTGCAGAGGAGTCTTCTGCTGAGTTTCCCAGTGAAGAGGCTCAGACTTCAGGGCTCCTGAGAGGACTGAAGTTCCATCACTTTGGAACCCAACGAGCACAGCCCCATGCCAGGTGTCAGGAGTGGGTATCTGGCGCGCACAGTTGTACAGATTGTCCCGTGGCCGGTGGGACCCAGTGTGGCCTTGGCACGGCATGAGGTGCAGGGGGGTGAGGCAGGCACAGGCAGGTCGGACAGCCTCTAACTATGCGGGCAATACCCAGCCTCAAGGCGGGGTCCCGCTGGGCGGAGGATGGTGCAGCCAGCCTCTTCCTGGGCCTCTGAGGGGCAGGCCTGGGGAACCCTGCTAAAGCGAATGGGTCTGCACTGCCCTTCTTCCTGGTGCCAACTCTGCCTCTGCGGAAGATGGGAGCAAAGGGGAAGGGTGGAAGGAACGGGAGGCATCAGCCGGAGCCCACATGGGCAGAGGGCAGTCAGCCTGAAACCCCCAACTGCTCATGGTCACTGGAGGTGCTAAACTGCCTCTCCATCTTCTTCTGGCCTTTGATCTTGGTGCCGATGTCCACCCTCTTCTCAAAGAAGTTCACCAGCACAGACTCTGTCAGGATGGAGGCCAGGATCTGCTCAAAGGAGATGCACCAGTCCGTGTCCACGGTGCCCCCAGTGCGTGAGGAGGCCACAGGTCTGCGGGCCTCGCCACCCACAAGTACTGTGTCGTCTGTGAGGTCCTCATACTGCAGGGAGCCCGTGCTGGCCACTGAGGAGGACGACATGGACATGTCTTTGACCTCGTCGTCAGACAGGAGCTGGGAGGGTGAGCCCTGGCCCCCGCTGCTGCCCCCCTCGGCCACTGCCCAGCTCTCCTGGGCTGCTTTCCCTGTGTAGGTGTCTCCGCCGGCTTTGGCCTGTGGGTCCTCCGCAGCTGGGCGCTGAAGCCCCTGTGTTGGGTCCTGATGGAGCTCAGGTGTCCGTGGCTCGTCCTCCTCGGCGGCACTGCTGTGGTCCCCAGTATGGCCGCCGTCCCTGGACTTCCCGCCCAGTCGGGCTGAAAACTTCTTCCCCACCTCTCCGATGCGGAGCAGCAGGCTGGCCACCGTGGCGATGGCGTGGTACAGGTCCTGCTCCAGGGGGTCCTCACTGAACATGTTGTATAGGGTCTTGCACAGCTCAATGAATTGCTCCTTCAGGAGGAAAGCAGAGAACACGGAGATGGCACAGATGGGTCAGAGTGCTCTGTTAGCTGCCAAGGATGCAGGCTGCTCTGATTGTACTGGGATGCTGTCTCCCCGAACCTGTGCTTTATCACTGCTGTTTCACAGCTTACAATGATGAGGCTCAGAGAGGGAAAGTGACTTGACCAGTGTCACACAGCTCTTAAAAATCCTTTTTGTTTTTGGTACTGGGGAACGAACTCGGGACCTTGCACTTGCCAGACAGGTAGCAAAAAGCCTTTGTCTTTTTTTTTTTTTTTTGGTTTTTGAGACAGGGTCTCACTATGTAGTTCAGACTGGTCTGGAACTCACTGTGTAGCCCAGGCTGGTCTCAACTCACAGCATCCTCCTGCCTCAGCCTCCCGAGACAGTAATCCTGGGATAACAGCCATGCGCCACCACACCCAGCCTAAGCCTTTGTGTTTTGAAGACAGGGTCTTACTGTGTATTCCAGGCTGGTCTTGAACTCATTATGTAGCCCAGCCTGATCTCAAAACTGCAGTGATCCTCCTGCCTCAGCCTTCCAAGAGCTGCAATTACAGGAGTGTGCCACACTTGGTTTAAAAAGCCTTTCTTGGGGCTGGGGATTTAGCTCAGTGGTTTGGTGGCCTGCCTTGCAAGCGCAAAGACCCGAGTTCAATCCCTGGTACCAAAAAAAAAAATAATAATAAAATAAATAAAAAGCCTTTCTTGGGGCTGGGGATTTAGCTCAGTGGTTTGGTGGCCTGCCTTGCAAGCGCAAAGACCCGAGTTCAATCCCTGGTACCAAAAAAAAAAATAATAATAAAATAAATAAAAAGCCTTTCTTAACCAAGATACATTACGTAAAGGTACAAATTCCCAGTAATGAATGTCAGCATACTGTATACCTAAAATGTACCAATAAAATTAGTGAATGACAAAAAAAGCATTTCTTGATAGCCATGGTGGTAAACACTTAAAATCTCAGCAAGTTGGGAGGCTGAGGCAAGAGGATTCATTCCAAGTTTGAGGTTAGACGACATAGTGAGACCCTGTGGGTGCAGCCCAGGGTAGAGCACTGGCTGACCACACGCAAGGCCCTGGGGCCCATCCCAGATGAGACCCATTTCTATCATCTTCTGTTTGTAGTGCCGGACATGGAATCATGGGCCTCATGGATGCCGGGCCAGTGCTAGCCATGGAGCTACACTTGCTTGTCAGTCCCTCCTCAGCTCAGCATTACGAGGGCTTCCTCAGTGTGCTGCATAGTCGCCCCCTACTTGTTCGCCTCTGACCTTCCGTGAGGCTGTTCGCCCCCTACTTGTTCGCCTCTGACCTTCCGTGAGGCTGTAGGTTGTAGGGCGGCTCATACACCTGGATTAGCTGGGAGGTGGAGGTCTGATCCTGGCCTGAGAGGGAGCTGGCGCCCAGGCTGAGGCCTTGCTGTTGGGGTGGGCGTGGCCTCTGCTCTAGGAGCTCTCAGCTGGTTCAGCCTCTGCAAGTTGCTGCACGGAAGCCACTGGTCTGGAGCAGGGCGGGAGTGAGCAGCCTCGCTTCTGGAATCATCACTAACTGCCATCCAGGGACAAGAGCTCCCACCCCAGAGGGTCTGCTGCAGGGCATCCGGCCCCAGTCTGGGCTAGAATACTCCAGGAATAAGTGTTGCTATGACAGCCCACCTGGTTCATCTTGGGAAGGTCCTTCATCGTCTCCTTTGGCGCCTCCTTCTCCTTGGCCCACATGCGTAGGTAGTGCCGGTAGTCTGGAGGGCTGGTCCCCTTCTCCTCTGTGAGTTGGGAGAAAGGGCTGAAGCGCCTCTGCCCAGTGAGAGCAGGAGGGCTACGGGGTGGTGTCAGGGAGCAGTGGGGTGGCTGTTTTCGCAGAGCGACCTAGGTCCTGTTAGGAAACACACTCGCACGTGGGGCTCGTGATGAAGACCCAGGACCCCCAGGTCTCCCCAAAGCAGCTTCAGTGGGTTGGATCTGAGTGGGTGGGTCAAGGTCCCAAACTTGCCATTTCCCTAAGGTGGTGGCCGGAGAGAGGCTGGCATGAAGCAGGGAGGGCCGGCTGGGCACCCGGTTTGTGAGGTACGTGTCCCTCCCTGAGGTGACGGGGAGGGATGAGCACAGTCTGGGATTAGCGGTGGAAAACAGTCTGTACCTCCTTTTCTTCCTGGAGCGTCGTCATGTCCATTTCCTTCTCTCTTTTCCTGTGGGAGTGCTTCTGGACAACCAGAAAGATAAAATGAACATGGAGGAAATTCTTCTGACTGTAAAGCACTCAAGAGGCGCAGTCTACACTTCTGCAGAAGCCCTGACAAACCCTGCACTGCCTCTCCGGCCCAGCCGCTTGGCCCCTGCCCACCCACTGCAGCCCAGTAGTTTCGTCGCCTGGTGACATGCTTACAAAGCCAAATGCGGTGGCTCTAATGCAGGGTGGAGGCTTAGTTTACTCGGGGGCCCTAGGTCCAGTCCCCAGCACAGCGCACACTCACTTCTGTTTTTCAAAAAAGCGTGAGTCTCACACTTTTTTTTTTTTTCAAGCAAATGACATGTACCACGGGCACCCAGTCTGAGAACTATTTAATTCTGTAGCTTCTGCCGAAAATGGCTCACACTTAGAGGGAGGGAGTGATCAGCGTGGGTTCTGCCTGCACCTGCCCCTGGGCAGTGCCGCATGCGCTGCGCTGTACACGTGTCTCCTCCGTGCGGAGGGAGGCGGCCAACAGCCCCCCCGGGCAGCGCCAGGCATCTCCCTGAGGAGTGCAGACCCTGCTGCCCGGGGCTGGGGGTCCTGAGGTCAGGGTGGCCACAGAGTGTGCAGGGTATGCGTAAAGCACCTGTGCTTTGTCCAGACCCCAGTAGAGCGGAAGGTACGTGAGGCTCTTCAGTGTGTGCTCCAGAAGTCAAACTCATGCCCCAACTCAAGTTTTTAAGTGTTCAGTGCTGTCACCAGGATCAAATAGGTACCTCTATTCTGCCTGTGTCCTCTCACCCCTATGCATCTGTGTGTGTGATACTGCGGACTGGACCCAAGACCTTCACTCAGCTCTTTGTTGAGGCAGGGTCTAAGCTGCTGAACTGCTCAGGCTGGAGTTAAACCTGTATCCTCAGCTGTTTTTCTTGACATGGTCTCGTACGTACGTCCCAGGCTGGCCTGGACCTGTAACTCCCCGCCTCAGTCTACCGTGGGCTGGGTCACAGGTGTGCACCACCACACATGGCAGGATGCATCCTTTTTCATTCTCCCCTTAGGGTCAGCTCCTTGGCACACGTCACCCTCCACGTGGAGCCCAGGGCAGCAGGCAGTTTTTTCTTTTGTTCTGAGGTACTGGGGACTGGACTGAGGGCCTGTGCTCTCTGGGCCAGTGCTGTGCTGCCGAGCTGCACCCTCGGCCCCTCTGACTGGCTGTGCCTCGCATGACCAGCTTGGCTGCCGACCCAGGGCCTGGAGAGCCTCCCTTACACGCCGCAGATGCTCCTAGGGGCTCTCAGTGTAGCACAAGGGTGAGTTCTAACAGGCACTCAACACACTTACTTTTCTGTAATGAAAAAATAGGGTGGAACATGAAAGTTTTCTGAGAGCATCAACCGTTCCCTCTGGCCTCCACTCGCCCCCTGCTTCTCTTCCACAGGCTGTGTGACAGCAGGTGGCCGCTGTGTCTTTGCTAGGAACAGAACTCTGCCTGTGGCTGTAGGAAGGAAGCCCGTGTGCTGTGCCTGCATTTGCTGACAACCCCACTGGGAGACCAGCTTGAAACTGCACTGAGCAGGCTTTGAGATACTATTGAATTGGCTTATAATTTGGCCATTGATTAAAACTACGAGTCATTCCAAGGCCTATGTGTGACTTGCTAAATAAGGCTTCTGCTGGTGGAGACAGATGTCCTTATGTCGGTGGTTACAACTGAGCTCTTGAAGATAAGGCTGTGACGTCTCTGAGAGCAAGGTAACACTGCAGCTGAGGAGGTAGGACAGTGCAGCCATTTTCCAAGATCAAACATTAGCTAAAGATAACACAGGGGGCTTGCTAGCTACAACCTGCGAGACAGCACAGGTGGCTTGTTAACGTGACCCGGTCTTCATCACTAAGCGCCTTTCTGCCTTCTATAGTCTGGCTCAGAGCATCGGTCCCACTGTATACATCTGCCTGCAGGCCGCCAGCTAGGCTGTCTAGTCATAAACACTGACTGATCCAGAGACTGTGGTCTTAGCCAGCTGAGGTAAGATCAGCTCCTGGCCCCGTTTGCCCTTATTCTTTATTCCTGGTTCTCTGAGTGTTATTCTTTCATCCCCTGCTGAACCCTCAAGTAGGCGACTGGGCATCCCCTGATAACCGGTGTTTGGGCACCACCCAACACCCCAAGACAGGCTGGAGGCCCCCGTTCCTGGGCACTCATCCCTGCAGGACAGAGTCCCAGGGGGCCCTCAGCGCAGTGTGTCCGGGTGTTCAAGTGTCCAAGATGGAGCCAAAGGCTGAGGGGCGCCCCTGACCTCTGGGACTGACCTTGAGCTCCCCAGGGCAGGAAAAGATCCAGCTCTGAAGTCAGAGGAGATGCTGGAGGCAGCAGAGGAGGCGCGGAGGGCAGAGGGAGGAGAAGCCAAGGTCCAGGGAGATGGAGATGTGAGAGAAACAGGAGCTGAGGACACTCAGACAAACAGGCCCAAGAGAACCCAGCGTGGCCCACGGGAGGGCTGCGGTGGCTGCAGGGCCACAGCTGGTGGCCAGTGTCCCAGCAGCAGCTCACCTTCTGAGGCGCTGTCCTCTGTGAAGTAATGTGCAGCCTCCAGGGCCGACTCTGCCTCCTCTGGGCCGAGAGCTGCCGGTGGACAGAAGGAGGGAGACGGTGTGATTCTCATGCTGAGTCCCCTCCTGCAGGCCAGGAAGAAGGCCTCGCCTCCCCCATTCAGTGTACTCAAACCTTTCCTAACACCCACCGCCCATAACGCCCGGTAAGTAGTTTTGGTTTTCTGAGACAGGGTCTCACTACGTAGCCCAGGCTGGCCTTGAACTTGCAGTGATCCTCCTGCCTCAGCCTCCTGAGTACTGGGATCACAGGTGTGTGCCTCCATGCCTGGTCTTACATCTGGTAAATGATTTGACGGCTTGGGCCAGGGATTTAGATCAGTGGTGCTGCTGCCTGTCTCTCAAGCGCAAGTTTGATCCCTGGTACCAAAAAAATTGTTTTTGGAAGGGCGATGATTCGTTCTTGTTATTTATTACTTTCTTGACTTTGACACTGTGGGATTTGGGGGGCAGTGCTTGGGGACTGAACCCAGGGCCTTGTGCATGCTAGCCAGGCACCCCAGCCCTGCTAAGTCTGAAAACATAGTACAACTGCCAGGCAGAGACACAATCAGTGCCACTGGGAGTCTGTGAAGATGAGCCAGCTCTGCAGATGCTCTGGGGCAGTTGTGGCACACATGCACATGTCAGCCACACACACAAGGCACTGCTTCCTTCACTCTGCACCCCGGAGCGGTTCCACACTGGGACACAGCCCGCTTCATTGTCCTCTCAGTTCTGAGTGACTCAGCACTACCTGGGCTGCAGATCCAGGTGGAGAGGCGTGCGCGTGCATGTGCGCATGTGTGTGAATCTCGGTTGTATGGAGGGAAACACAATGGCGGGACTAGCCCAGCACATGGGGAGGTGGCAGGGCATGGTCTAGCATCCATCAGAAGCCCATATGCCTGCCTTGTGCCTGCTATCATTTTCGCTGGCCCAAGTCAGCTTCCTCCTGAGAAATGGTCCAAGTGCCCTCCTCACAGCCACCTCAAGCCCAGCGCACTCTGCGCGCAGTTCCAGCCTGGCTCTCTGAGCCCTCACAGGAGCTGTCTACCTGTACCCCAGTGTGGACCCATTAGGCCACAGCACCACCTCTATAGGACAGAAGACGTGGTCCCCCATGGCCCTAGAGCCCGGTTCCTGGGGCTGTGGTGCACCCCCCAGGCTGGCCCTTGGGAACTGGAATGCAGGGTCTTGGTTCCTTCGTGGGTTTCCGGTGGTCCTGTTCCCAGCCCGCCTGCACCAATGGGAGCCCCTCCTGCATCCTCCCATCATGGCCCTGCTCTGACAGCAGCCAGTCAGGGCCTCAGCACCCACCCTCCACTTGGCTGGGCCCTGCTGCCCCACGACAACCTGTGCCCCCTTGGCATCCTGAACTCCAGGGTGAGGCCCTCACCTGGGGGAAGGTGCAGCTTGTAGAGCACCTTGAGCTTCTCCGTGAGGTCTCCGTGGTACATGGCACCTGTGGGGCAGGCGGGGAGCAGGGCGCTGGCAGGGGCTTCCAGGCCACATAGCCCTCCAGGGTTCCAGCAGGGCAGGCCAGCTGCTCCTGGAGAGGGCCCTACAGGAGCCCTGCCAGGCACACTCAGCCCTCTCAGGGCTGTAGGAGGGAGGGCGGCAGGGCGCAACAGGCCCATGTCCAATGGGTGAGCCCTACTCACTCATCCCTGTCACGAACTCCTTAAAGTTGATCAGCAAGTCCTTGTTCTGGTCCAGGAGCCGGAACATGCGGCCTGCCAGTGCAGGAGTGTGTGAACCACAGGCCCAGGGCGTCAGGCTGGCAAAGAGCTCCCGGAACTGGCTGGCATCAATCCGGTACTGCTCCAGGTAAGGCAGGCTGGGGTCGCGGCGGCTGGCGGCTGTGCAGCTGCTGCCCCAGTACTGGCTCGCCATGTGCTTGGCCTGTGGGGGACATGGGCTATGAGATGGGGCACCCAGCTTCACCTCAACGCAGGTCTGCAGAGCTCTGGGGTGAGGAGCAGAACAGATACCACAGCTGCTCACAGAGCCCCTCATGGTGGGCACATGGTAGAGCCAGGAGACACGGTGCTAGGCCACCTTTGGAACTGGGCCCAAGAAAGATCAGCGACAAGGACTCCGCAGGCTCTGCCTTCTTTCCACAGCCCCCCGCCCCGCTTCTGTAAGCAGCACCTGCATGTGTGTCGAAACCCTCCTGAGGCAGCTGCAGGCCTCGGTGACAGGGCCCGGCCATCGCACCTGTCCTGAGTCACTGCATAATCCACCCTGGGTCATGTGCTAAAACTAATTGGGAAGAGAAATTCTTTTTGCTGGGGTGACTGACGAGATCACCCCAGCGCTATTGATGACAGGGCTGCCACAGAGTCTCAGTCTGGAGTCCCTGAATAGGGAGCTCGTGGGCCTGTGGGTTGCCTGGTCCAGCCTGCCCGGAGCTGAGTCACCACGCTTTTCAGCCAGGTGAGCGATGGATTCCCTCTTCTGTATGGGCGGACGTGACTGGGTCTCCTGGCGTTTAAGAGTGTTCTGTCAAACTTCAAGGGTTCAAACCCACCACGCGAGGTTCGTGGTAACCACCTCTGGGGCTGCTTCTCAATCCCCCTTCTCTTCTGACCGAAAGCTGCTGCCCTGAGATGTGCTCTGGGGGTGGGGCTGGGACACTGGCTCTGCCTTTGCTCTTGGTTGTCACCTTAAACACCACATAAAGCTCCTCCAGCTCCTCAATTGAGAAAGCAATGTCCCCTGGGATGGCTCGGACCTGGAACGAGAGAGAAGTGGGCGGTACTGTTGGGTCCTCAGGTTCTTGCTGCAATAGAAACAAGACAGTTGCTCTGAGGGATGAGCATGTGGTCAGCCAAGGCCACCAAGTACGGAAGGTGGTGAGCTGGGGTGTGTGGCCCACAAGCTCACCCTGTCACACAGGCGCCTTCCTGGGTGGCATGGGGGGTCTTTCTCTCTGGAGCCAAGGGTGTGGCCATTGAGCTCCTTTGTCTGGATCCCTGCAAAGACCCTGGCACTGGTTCTTCAGAAGGGGTTCTAGAACTTGCCAGCCAAGCCTGTCCCTCAGCTTCTGTTGCTGGTGCCCTCTATGGGCTGAAGAGGAGGAGTGGAAATGTGCAGGCATGGCAGGGAGTATCTGACTCTGAGGTCCCAACACGGGGAACCTGACCCTTCCAGGGTATCGGCATCGTGGGCCAGAGGCTGAGAGCACGGCCTCCGGGTACGGGTGAAGGAAACACCTTCCCCTGAAGACCCGGGCAGGAAGCCGTGAGCCGGAGCTCCCCCAGTGCCGGTGTGCATCTCCTCGCCTGCTTCCAGGCTGCTCAGCAGCCACAGCGCAGGCGCCCGGCAGTGTGAAGGACAGGGCAGGAGTGACTGTGCACCTGCCCCCCCCAGAGGTACGCGCCCGTCCCCCCAGCGACTGTACCATGCTTCGCTTGGCTGTGTCCTCCAAAGACTGGATGACTTTCAGCCTCTGCTTAAACCGCATCTGTTCGAGGTCATTGGCCCTCAGGCTGCTGAACTTCTACAGGTGAAGGGGATTTAGTGAGACCGAGTCTGGCCACAGACAGAAGCCTGCCCCTCGCCACCACCAGGCCTGGCCGAGTTGTTGCCACTGGGTGCTGACCTCATAGGACACCTTCAGGAGGTCGAAGACGTCCACCTCTGCAGGAGGGTCATCTCCGCTGGTCAGCAGGGCATGGAGGTGTGGAATAGGGGGAGAGATACTATGCTTGTTGACCACATTATCCAGGTATCTGTGAAGGTCAAAGGACAGGGTCCACATCACCCACTGGCCACAGGGGCATCTCCCTCACTGCTAAGTGAGGCATATTTAGATGCCCCGTCACGTGTGTGCTCAGGGCCCGAAGCCCCAGCACACTGCCCGCAGGAGGTCTGAGTGCTAACTCAGAGGCTAACTTCAGGGGGTCTTGTGGGCAGGAGCCTTTTACAAGCCCAACCCTACCAGCTGGAAGGATAAGTACCCGCTATGCCATAGCTCTCTCAGCTGTCCTGTTAAGTAGGGCGGAAGTGGGCTGCTCTTTGCAGGGGAAGTAGCAGTGTGGCAGCTTAGGAAGTACAAAGACAGCTTTGTGGAAATCAGAGGAACCTTCGCTGGACTCAGGCCTACTGCACAGCTGTCTCCCAGCCACCAGTAAGAAGTGTCATCTGGGTCACTCCCCGACAGCCCCTAACCACACGCCTCTGGCCACGGCCCTGGCTAAGGCCAGTTCACCATCTGGTTTCCTCCTAGCAGAGATCACTTGCTAACGCCGGCAAGTGCTGTTTGGCTCTCACTAGGAAAGAAAATCTGTCGGAGGAGCCGCCTGGACCCAGGTGTGGCCTGGTGCTTGATGGGTGCAGTCACTGAGCACTGACTGCCCAGGGCTGGCAAGGGGTGGAGTTCTGCTGCCAGGTTCCAGAAGCAGGAGGAGACCAGCGCGTTCACCTGCCCAGCACGGTCATGGCCTCGCCCTCATCACTGCAGTCCAACAGCTGCTCCACATTGGCGTCTAGGACAGCCAAGGCCACCTGCAGGATCACCTTAATGCCCTCGTAGAAGAAGCAGTCAACGATGACCACGGCGCTTTCAAAGGGCATGACGCTGAGGAAGAGGGTCAGGAACCAGGACAGGGAGATGCTGGAGATCACCCCCAGGTCCTGCATCTTCTCAGAGAGCCGGGGTAGGAAATCTCTCGTGAGCTCTTCGAAAATGCCTTGGTCCACCAGGGCTCCTGTAGAAGAGACAGAAAAGTGAATGTGAGCCCATGCCCAGGGCCTCAAGCAGGACCCCGTGAACCTCCTGGGACCCAGGAGGGCCCCCTGACCCTATCTGCCGCTGGCCCTGTGGCTCCATTTACAGTGAGGACAGGGGAAAAGTCACAAACACCCCGGAAGGGCTCCATCCACGGCATTCTGTGCTTTCGAGAAGAATGTCCGTCGTACCACATAGCCCCTTCGGTGTCCGCAGGGGCCTGGTCTCAGGATCCTCAGATACCAAGCCTACGGGGCGGAGTCCCTGATGGGAAACGGAGGAGTGTTTGTACAAAGCCTGCAAGCTCCTCCTGTGTATCTTAAACCACCTCCGGACGACTCATACAGTGTGAATGCCACGCTAACAGTTGCTTTATACTGTACTGTTTGGGGAACGAGGAGAAGGAAAACAAGTCTGTGCCGTTCAGCACAGATGCAAGGTTTTCCTAGGCATTTCTGACTTGAGGTCAGCTGAATCCCAGGGGTCCTGAGGGCTGACTGCACTCGGATCTTCTTTCCAGGAAGCACAGTTTCTTTCCTAACAGAATCAGAAGTGATTGGTGGCCTTGGTGGCTTCTGTGCTACTGCTTGTGAACAGATGCAAATCTAAACGACCCCAGGAGACTCCAAAAACCAGCATGGAGGGGTAACAGACTCCAGGTAACTGGCTTACATGTATACATGGTAAGAAACATTGGAAAGCCCTTTTCCATCTGATGACAGATGTCACTGGATGTGAGCTCATAATAGTTGAAGTTGGACGACAGGTACACAGGGGTAAACTATCCGCTTTAGTTTTGATGTTTAAAATGTTCTATGTAAAAAAGACACGGAAAGGTTAGATGGATGGTAATTTAGCTTCTGGAGGGGACTTTCCAAAGCCAGTGCAAGTGTGGTATCCTCTATTCTCACTTCAGCAATGCCAGGGCTGTGGGTGCAGATGGTGGGGACTCCTGTGTTTGGCTGTCCACTTTCTAGCGGTGTGATCTTTTCCTCCTTCTTTTGAAACAGGGTCATGCTGTGTAGTTCAGGCTGGCCTTGAACTCACCATGTAGCCCAGGCTGGCTTCGAACTCACAGTGGTCCTCCTGCCTCGGCCTCCTGGGGCTGGGATCACAGGTGTGTGCTCCCATACTGGCTGTGAGCCCCTGCAGCTCGAGGCGTCTGGGGAAGGGCCTGCCACGTGGGAGCCGCTGGGCACTCACCCACCACCCTGGTATTGTAGTAGTCGGGCAGCATGCGCTCGCAGAGGGCCACCAGGAGCCAGAAGGCCTCCTCCTCGCTGCCGTAGAGCAGAAGCACGGACGTCACAATGTTCATCGCCTGCCAGGCAGAGATAGCAAGGGGCGGTTCGCACTGGGCTGCCAAGGACAGTGGCCTCCTGCCCCACACTGGCCTCTCTGTCTACCATCTGCCCCTGCAGGAGGGGCAGCATCCAGCTGCAAGAAACTGTCCCAGCCCAGTGCTGGGAAACTGGCCACCAGACAATCTGCAGGAAACCAATTTGACAGAAACAGCCAGCTCCTTCAGACTGGGTCAGAAGGCGCCCAGAATATACACGGCAGCATTCGGCCAAGGACATTCTGCTAGTGGTGTCTGTGTGAGGTGACGCCGGGCCAAGCTGACGTGTGTGAGCTGTGTGGCCAGTGCCCTGCAGGGCTGATGGTAAATGCACATCACACCCTGAACTATACACAGTCACAATGGTAAATTCTGTTATGTGTATGTTATCACACACACACACACACACGCAATCAAATACTTCCAAGACTCAGACCAGAAGCATGTAGCAGGTAATGTAGGGCACGGGAGGATGCTGTTTCTAGGTTTTGGTTTTGTGTTGTCAGCTCCTTCCCGGGGGAAGTTTCTGCCCTGTGCCCAATGAGCCCTGCTACCTGGCAGTAGCCAATGGTGGGATTCCGGAAGGCGTAGGCGGTCAGCACCCGCCGCAGGGCAGCGATGCCCAGCTCGTTCTGGAAGGCAGGATGCTCGGGCATGGAGCGGTGGAGGTCTCGCTCGATCTCCTCGGTGGCCAGGCTGTCCTTCCCCATGGACTTCTCCACCAGCTCGGTGTAGTAGCCGGGGTGAGTCACCATCTCATTCCAGGCCCCTGGGGAGACACAGGGCAGCCGTCAGTCTCTTCTTCCTCTGGGTGCTTGCGGCATCACAGGGCAGACTAGAATGTTCTCTGGAGAGGATGGCTCTGGGGTCAACTACAAGGTGAGAGCGAAGCTTTCCTGGCCATTGCTCAGCACAGCCCTTTTGTCCCAGAAATCTGAAAAGCCACAGAGCCCTTGTGCAGCAAAGCTCCAAGCGGCCAAGGGTGTGCCCACTCAGAGCCTGTCCCATGGGGGGCACCAGGGGTGCCAACCCTGGCATCTGCTCCTCCGCAGCCTGTACGGGCAGTGAGACCTTTCCCTTCTTTCCTACCAGGCCCTGCTCTTCCTGGTCGACCTGAGGAGGCCAGCCCAAGGACAAGACAACTCACAAGGGAGGTTTCCTCATTTCGTTCTGTTCCGATTACTCTGTGCCACTGTCTGTCTCACCACGCAGCTCAGGTTAGCTCCGAATCTGCGATCCGCACCTAGGCCTCTGAGGGCTGGGATTACAGGTATGTGACACTTTTTCCGAGGAACAGGAGCCACAGATGAAATGCAGACCCCTGCATGTGTAAAGCACACTGTCTCTCTAGGAGCTGCCCCCAGCCCACTGCGGATGGAGAACGAGGCAGGAGCGGTCGGATCCCACTCACCCGAGAAGAGGAGCCACAGCTCTCCTCGCAGACTCTCGGGGATGCCCTTCAGGACCAGCTGCCGAGTCTTGGCTGTGCGGTACATGCACATGCCGCGCCCATACTCAAAGAAGTGGATGTCCCACGCCTCCTCTTTTGCCTTCTCCTTCGCCTGAGGGAAGAGAAACAGGGGTCTGGGGCTGAAGAGTCTCAGAGAGCTGAGGCCAAGGTGATAAAGTCCTCACTTCTCTGAGCAAGGCTGAAAGCCTGCAGGGAGCACGGTCTGACAAATGCTGCCAGGAGGCGCAGATTTCACAACGCATTCAGCAGAGGTACGCAGAGCGCTACCTGGGCCAGACCACAGAACCACCCTCAGGCTGCTTCCTTCCCCTCAGAGGCCCGGAGCCCATGACATATAACACCCGCTATGTGGGTCGAGCGGGCGCCTGTCCCTGGAGACAGCGTGGGCCACGATGAACTGCCAGGGCGGCCCCAGGAGGCGTCGCCCACTGTGGGTCCCGAAGGCACCCAGAGGCTGGCTTCAGGCCGCCTGCCGGCAGAGGCACAGCTGCTTGGCCTTACCCCCTTAGCTCCGAGGTCCTCCATGGGCGAGTGTCTCTGGAAGACCTTGAGTAGGCCCTGGGACGCGGTGGGCACCTGCTGGGCACTGAAACTCAGGTGGCTGCGGAGGGGTGACGACAGGCTGGTGGGTGCTTCCAGCAGCTCCTGAGGTGCTGGGAGGGACTAAAAATTAAACAGAGAAGGAGAGCAGCTGATAACCAACTTCCGTGCGGGCTGCAATGAGCACATTGTTAGACAAAGCCAGGGCAAGGGCTGAGGGTGCACAGGCCTGGAGGCCTTGGCTGTGGCCCTGCTGCCTGTGCACCTGTACCTGTGCCCCTCGAGCCAAGCCACCCAAGCCGGTCACGGGGCCTCTCGCGGCACACGCGCCCCTGTTGGCACCCACCCGAGCTCACTGCAGGCTGAGTGTGCTTAGGCACTGTGCTGTGGGAGCAAGGACCCTGCTATCGCACTGTGGGTGGTGCAAGGCTCAGACCTGGCCAGGAGTGGGTGCTGAGCCCCAGGAGGAGGCGCTGCCGGGATGACATACACCACACCCGGAGCCACGGAGGAGGCATGCAGGGGACACAGGGCTTACGACAGCGACGCTCTGAAGCCTGTCCCTCAGGTCCTGACTGGGGCAACCGCGCCTGTGCTCACCCACCTGCAGCTGTCTGAGGGGCAGGGGGGCTTCTGCCCAACACCCTCAGCACTCTTACGGACTCCTCAGGAGGGGTCTGGACCCTTCCCAGGCTGGCCACTCACTCCAGGACCCTTTATGTTTCTGCATCTTGCTGCCCCGGGCCTGGCGCGACAGAGGTGGCCTAAAACACACACGGCCTCTGTTCACTGGGTTCTCCTGAGTGTGCTTGAAGAGATGCGAGAGCTCCTGCTATGCTTGGAATCTCTACCGTGTGACACTTTCCTTCCCCTAAGGGTCTGGTCATAAGCAGGGAGCTCCGTTAGGACAGAGGGCCTGTGCCCCAGCTGCCCCCTACCCCAGCAGGGCTGTAGGATCCTCCCACAACTAGGAGCTAGGACAGGGGCTCTGGGAAAGCACTGGGTAGGGCACATGGGACAGGCCTGGAGGGGCACGAGGGACAAAGGTCTGTAGGGAAGACTGACCTCCTCCTCTGGGTGCCTGGACCCTTGCCTCTAGCTCTCGTCCTGCTAGCAGCACTGCAGCGTGAGATGCCAGCATCTGGCCCAGAAGGCACAGTGTGGTGACGCCTGCCAACCCTCCCTCTGCTTGCGCTGCTCTGAGGGCCAACTGTGCTGGCCAAAGGCCGCTGACCTCCAGGAAGCCCAGTGCTTGTGGGAATGGCCGTGCAGGGAGACGTGCGCTCAGGTGGCCCAGGGCGGTGCTGGGCGTCTGCCCTTCCAGGTCCCCTGCTCTCAAGTGAGACTGGGCCTTGGGCCTGGGACCTGCTTCCTGTCCTGCCAGCAGCAGCTCCGGGTGACCCAGGCTCCTCCCGCTCCTCTTGGGCCCTAGGTGTGATGGTGCCGTGACTGACGGAGTTCAGAGGTGTCACCCAGCTGCCACCAAGGAAATGCAGCGGTGCCTCTGTAAGGCGTGCTGGGTGACCCCGGGAGGACACGGGGCTGCAGCCACCAGCCTGGCACCCAGAAGCCGAAGGAGTACACTGCTTTGGCAGAAAGCAGAGTCTGGTGGGAGCACCCCGCCGGACAGCAGGCTGACCAGGAAGTCCCTCTGGCCTCTCCTCCCGGGTCTCATCCTGTGGCTACAGGATGGGCAGGGGCTCTGGGGACACCTACCTAAACTGCTCCACCATTACTCTCACAGAGAGCCCTACCTGTGGCTGCTGAAGGCTCACAACGCATAGACACACGTTAGAGTATATCCAACGACTCTTCAAATATGTACAGGCATTGCACTTTGCCCTCAGGTAGCTGCTTTTAAGAAAAAAGAAGAAAGAGAGAGCTCTGCTAGGTTTCTACCTCTGTCCGCCTCTCTGCACCTGACTGGTATTTCAGAATGGATTTTGGGCCCATTTAAATATACTTTTTTTTGTTTGTTTGATTTTTTGAGACAGGGTCTCACTTGAGACTGACCTGGAACTCACTATGTAGCACAGGCTGGTCTCGAACTCACAGTGATCCTCCTGCCTCAGCCTCCTGAGTGCTGGGATTACAGGCGTGTACCACCATGCCCGGCTAAATATACTTTTATAGGTTTTAAGTTCTTGGTTTTTTGAGATAGGGTCTTATTATAGTCCAGGCTGGCCTTGAACTTGTGGTGACCCTCCTGCCTCAGCCTCCTGAATGCTGGAAATACAGGGACGTACCACCATGCCCGGTCCTAAACATACTTTTTAAAAATTTTTGGTAGCAGGGATCAAACTCAGGAGCTTGTGCTTGTGAGGTAGGCAGGCTTCCACTGAGCTAAATCTCGAGCCCTAAACATACTTTATAACAGGCTGCTTAAATCCAGCAGGCAGGACCCCAGCATAGACCAGTGGTGCCTGACCGTGGAGACCACTTCCTACTGGAGCATCCCAGGAACACCTGGAGGGTCGGGGACAGAGCATCTTGAGCATGTGCAAGGCCTGGGCTCACTCCCAGTGCCCCACCCTACAGGACACAAATGGGCTCTCAGGTAATGGGAAGGACCTTAGAGTATTAGAAATCACAGTGCCAGCAAATCAGCCCGACTCCAGGAATGTCCTTCCTGATGGACGTGCTCCCAGGCAGCCATGAGCAGCAGACCGAGCTGGAGGCCCAGGCCGCTTTCTGCAGAGCCAGCTGGGTCACACTTGCTGGGGCCGGCCGGCCTCTGGTGGACACAGCAGTTGCCAGGATCCTGCGTTCCTAGTCAGGTCCTTCTCCTCCCTCCAGGTAGCCATTTCACATGTTTATCCAGAACAAACTTCAAAGTGCACTTGCCTGTCCTCACTTCCTGTTTCCTATTTCACTGACAAGCAAAGCAGGAGCAGGAGCAGAAGCAATGTGAGGCCTCCACGGCCCGCATCCATCACAGCAGCCCGAGCCCCTGCCCTGTCCTGCCTCTTGACTTCCTCCAGCAGCTGCTGCACCCTTAAGACCCTCCCTGTCTTCAGCTGGATGACAATGGACAAGTCATTCCTGCCAGTTTCCCAAGGTCCTCAGGCCCAGTGCTGAAGGCCTGGTCCCCAGCCTGCACTGTGGGAGATGGTGGCCCTGAGAAGGACGGGTCGGGGGGAGGGAGTAACTGGTCACGGGGCGCTCTGGATATCAGGAATCTTGGGGCCCAGTCCCTTCCTCCCCATTCCCGGCCCCCAGGAGGTGCAGAGCTAGGCTTCACCACATGCTCCTGCCATGGTGTGCGGCACTGGCACAGACCCAAAGCAAAGCGCTGGGGGCCACAGTCTGGGATCTTCAAAACCGTGAACCCAAACAGATGCTTCCTCCTCACAAGCTGACTGCCTCCAGTATCCAGTCAGTGAGTCCCCCACACAGTGGGAGCTGTACTCAAGATGTCTTGAAAGTTACCCTACACTCACTGTAACCTTCTGTCCTCTCTCAACTCTTCCTGTCAGAAAGTGCGTACGTATGTATGTAGTATGTGTGTGTGTGTATAAAATATTAATTAATCTATTTTTTGGTACTGCGGATCGAGCTCAGGACCCTGCGCTTTCGAGGCAGGCGTATTGCCACTGACCTAAATCGCCAGCCCC